AAAAAAAAGGGTGTGTGCAAAGTCGCTACGGCACCGGCTGCATTTCTTCCATTGGTTGCTTCTCCTGCAACACTGCTGCGTCGGAAAGGACTTGTGTGTCTTCTGGCTGAGATATCTGCGAGTAGAGAATCGCGGCGATAACAGAGCCAACCAGCGGTGCCATCCAATACACCCAAAAAGACGACAATGGGTCACAGTCGCCGGTGAGGCATAGCGCCAATTGCAGCCCAGTCGCAGCAGCTGGGTTGAAGGCGCCACCCGAAATTCGTCCAACAGCGGCGGAACCAGCCGCTATAGTCATGCCAATGGCAAAGCCATAGAAGAAATTTCCACTCTGTCGCGAATACGCCACGTTCAACACAACCATGGAGACAGCAAACGTGAAAATAAGCTCTGAAAATATACCGGACGATACATAAGCTGTGTCCACGTGCGGCACGAATATATCAGTACTCCCTTGTATAGCCATGGCCACAAGTCCAGCCCCCAGTGACGCACCTGTCTGGCATATCATGTATCCTACAGCACGCACAATATCGATCTTCCGCACAAGGAACACCGCTACTGTGACGGCAGGGTTGAAATGCCCACCGGAAATGTAGCCAAAAGTAAATACCATGCTCATAAACATAAATCCGATCGGAACTGCTGTCATGTTAGTGTCGTCACTCTTATCGAAGAGACTTTGGTTACGCACGCTGACAAGGGAAAGAGTGAGAACACAGGCAAACGTCCCGAACGCCTCCGCCACGTAGGAGCCCAGCAAGGGGTGCAGACGCACCCAATCCGGAACGTACAAAATGTCAAACTCCCCACGAATAGAACGGAGGGCAGCCTGCTGCTGTGCGTACAGGCGGGCGAGCTCGCGCGGGTCAAGTTCCTCCGAGCGCGTGATACCGTCCGTCGTGACATCCACCTTGATGCCACTCTTCTCTTTCTCGCTCTCCGCAAGCGGGGAGAAGTGAACCGACTGAGTCTTCGAGGTCGCAGAAGGTTGCGACGGTACGGTGCTCTGCCGCCCCGATGTTGAAGCAGCAGTGGTGGCCGCGCGGCTCCCCGGCATTACGTTTTCCGCCGCCGCCTCTTGGCTCGCACGCACCTCGCGCGGCGTCTGCTGCCGGAGTTGCGGCTGTGGCTGTGGCTGCGACGGCGTCGCCGGCCTCAGTGCCGTCGGTGTGGCCACCGTGGACACGTCATCGTCGCCACACTCCAATGGATCTACATGCCTGTTTAATGCAGGGGCTGTCGCCTTCTCGGTGGAATGAATGCCAGACGACTTATCCTGTCCGTGCGCGCCTGGCGAATTCGTGTTCGGCATCATGCTGAATTGCTGACACGCGTAACAGCAGTCAGCATGCAGAAATTAAAGACAAACGAAAACAAGGATTCAAAGAGACATCAAAGAAAATGCAGGAAGGCCTGCACATTGCTAATGATTCCAAAGAGGGAGAGGATGGAAAAATGCAAAACAAAATTCAGACAGTTATCTCCAGCATCCATCCACAACGCCATCATCCGTGTTTTAAGCGGCGCGTCTATAAAAACGCGACCCCTTGCCTTTTTTTTGATTTTTTTTCTTTTTTTTTGTTTTGTAGGGGAGGGGGTCGTCCCATCACGTTTTCTGCTGCTGTAAGAGGTACACATTATTCGTGCTGTCTATCGTGTATCCCAGATGGAGAATATGCGCCCGCACCTCCGTCTGGGAGACACGAAACCACTCCACTGCCTCTTGGCGTCCCTGGGGGGACTGGTGCTTCGCCTTCATCCCCGCATACTGTGGATGGGCCTTGAGCACCGTCTTCGCCACCTCGTTGAAGGGCACAGCCGCTTTCCCAGCGGCAGCCCACTGTTGGAGGAGGGAAGCCGTGAGGCTCTCGAGGTTCCCCGCGTCGACCCCCGAGAAATCAAGCGTCGCGACAGGCTTCTTGGCCTCTTCAGCCGCACGGAGTGCCGATGATGGAAGAACCGATACCGGCGGCTCCACAGCTGCTGTTTGGGACGCATCGCCCTGTTGGGCATTTGTCGTCACACCATCCACCTCACCGGCGGGCGTTTTGTTGTTGCTACTGCTGATGTTAGTTTCCGTTTTTTTCTTCTTACTCGCATTTGCTTCGGTTTCTTCACCACGTTTCTTTCGTCCTTGCCGTCCAACCGGAGTGGCATCGTCAGATAGACTGCTCATTTGATCATCGTCGTCTGCTCCGTCGTCATCGATGTAGCTGCGCTTGAAGCCGACGGAGCGGACGTCCATGCCAGAGTACCAAGAGGTGGAAATGCCTTGACCCTCTTTGGGCGCCCCCACCCGCTCGTAGCGGAGGGCGTGCAGCGGTGCGCTTAGCCACCTCGCCTGCGCCACGGTTGCTTCCCCTGCTACTGGCTCTGCTGCTCCTCTTCTCGCTACAGGGAGTGTGAGGAGTAGACATGCCATGTTCTCGTGCTCCGGCAGTGGCAGTGAGCTGAACCGAGGTGCCCCGCCCTCATTGCCACCATCGCCATCGCAATCATCATCACAGCCAATGTTATCATCATTATTATCTTCTTCGCCAGCGTCACCATCTAATGCAGATGCACTGCGAAGTACTCCGCGATACACCGTCCGACGGACGCGCTTCCATGTCTTTTTCGGGGCCTCCAGCACATGCAATCGCTGTGGAACACGTGAGCCCAACTCCGGCGAAGTCAACAGCGAGAATAGACGAACACCGGCAGTGCCCTTTGCACTGTCGCTGTGGCCGACAATGCGGTAGCGCTCGACCTGCTCTACTGCTGCAGCTTCTGACTTCTGTCCTGACTGCCGCTGCCGCCGCCGCCGCTCCTCTGCCAATCGTGCATCCTCTTCCAGCCGGTACTTCGGCAGCACAGTTGGAACCACCTCGAGGCTCTGACGTATCATTTCGCCCCACACCTTTTTTTGAGATGCAAAAAAAAATATGGAAACGGACAGAGAAACAATGTGTGTGTGTGTGTGTGTGTGTGTGTGTGTGCGGAAGTGTGTGCTCTCCAGAGAGGCAACTATTTCACCAGTGCTCACGTTTCGCGCAGAAAAAAAAACCCCATGTATACGTCCACGTGTACATATGTGAGCATCTGCACTTTTGATGAAGCCGAATTATACAACAAAAATAATTATGCGTACCGCAGAAGCCCAACAGCGGAGTTACAAGCCTCTTCTAGTTTCGCGCGCAGCTCGCTCCACACAGGGCCCTGCGTTTTCGAACATAAGCAAAAGTGACAACCAGCACGTTCTGCCGCCACACGGTCCTCCTCCGCATCTCCAACATGTATCCAGTGGCGCAGTGATAGAACACCGGATGCCTTGGCGGCCAACAGAATCCCCTTTGGAGACGGCTTGCCCGCACCAATCACATCGGCGGTCAATACTGGACCGAGCAAAGCCGCGTCGCCATCACGCTCCACCATAGCGCGTACCATGGTGAGTGAACGATGGTCTGAGTTGGTCACAATTGCCGGTGGATCGCACTGAATGTTCGGTGGCATCTGCGTCTCCCGCCATTGCTTAAGCCAACGAAGCGTCGGCAGCGCCTCGGGAAGCCAGCCATATGGATCTGGTGTGGCATAACGATCCACAATGCCTTGAAGAAATCTCTTCCATTCACTCGTGTCACGTACCTCTTGTATAACGGACATAACGGTTGCGTCATGATTGCAAAAGTCTCCATTGCGATCATACGTGGCGTTGACGATGCGACACCAAAGGTCTGCAACGGATTCCTTCGTCAAGCCTCCAATAGGCATCTCACTTGCCTCACCTAGACCTTGCGCCACCCACTTTGCACGGTCCTTGGAGACCTCAGTCTTGAATGCCCGGACAAAATTCCTTTCCAGTACGCCCACGTTCATGGGTACTTCACGTAGACTTTTCTTCTGCAGGAAGCGGTTCATGTCAATAGCGGATTGGTACCCGGTGGAGGGGTACACCTCCACGAGCGTGCCCAACAAGTCAAGCGACACACCTATTCTGACAGCCATTACCTTCAGAGAAGCACGCCTACGCACGGCCACATAGATACACGCAGTTCCAAATAAACAAGACATAAAAAAGAAAAATCCATGGATGCCAAGTCAATGTGTAGGCGTCTATCGGAGAGTGCAACACAAATCGATTTGGTTCAAATAATCACAAGAAAAACAGCCCGCACCCTGTGCTCAGAGAAATTCATGTGCCCAAGACATACCCCCATTGGAGCCACAACAATGTCTACGGGAATCAGCAAGGTACATGTGTGCAAGTCCCCCCCCCCTGTTTCTTACACCTCATCATTCTTCCCCCCCAACTTCCTCCTCTGTGTCCTCTTCCTCATCTTCATAATCGTCTTCTTCATTATTCTCTGCATATTCTTCTTCGTCACTAGATTCCTCATCACTGCTCTCCTCTTCTTCACTCTCCTCCATACTGCGGAGGCGCACCGCCCTGATTTCAGCAGCTCTTTTCAACCGCACGAATAACGGGGAGTCGTGGGGCAACTCGCGCACTTTTGCCACACGCGCGGGCGGGAGGCCATGCATGAGAAATGATGGACCGTACCGCGTGAAGTATTCGCAATTATCCGGTACGGCGACGCCAAAACTAGTTGACAAATCGGCCGAATCTCGGAAATAGTCTGTATCACCACGGCGCAACGCTGCTGCACAACTAAGTACGTCCTTCGTCACCGCGCCAGCTAAACGGGCAGAACTCACATCCACGTAGCCACCAGCGCCAAGTAATAGCATCTTCAGTGAGCGCTCCGCAGCCTCTGTTAGCAGGAGCCTAACAATGCGCTGTATCCCACCAATTGATAGGTTAAGAGTGCCAATAGGATCACCGCACAGAGCGTCAGATCCACAGACGACGACGATAGCACCTAGATCGTCGCCAAGCTTCTTCAAGGCAGAACGAACGGCTCGATACATGAAAGGCACAGCAAGTACATCCGTTGCGCCCTCTGGCAGCGGCAGGTTCATCGCAAAGCCGCGTCCCAGCCCTCCACCAATCTCCTCCAATCCGCCCGTTCCAGGGTAGACACCTACACCATACGCGTGCATCGAAAGTGTTAATACATAATTATCAAAGAGGAATGCTTCTTGTGTGCCATCGCCGTGGTGGGCATCCAGGTCAACCACAAGAATCCTTTTTTTGTTCAACGGAAGCAGCTTGCGCAACTCCGAGACTCCGAGAACCACATCGTTCACAAAGCAGAACCCTCCAGCCATTTGTCGTTTCGCGTGGTGTCTGCCGCCAAACCAATGGATGGCAGCAAAGCGCCCGGTCTGGGCAAGCAAGCGGGTGGCAGTGAGGGTGCCTGAAACGGTGGCCTGAATAGTCCGCCACATGCCAAGGAAAGGGGTATTGTCGCCAGTGAGATTAAAACTAATATCCTCTTGAATGGGCACGAGATCAAGCAACTGGCGTGGTGGTGGCTGAATCTGCAAGGAAGATCTCCTCGAAACAGGGGGTTGAATTCCCTCAGCCTTGCACCGTTTTGCAGCCGAGGCGCACTCGTCCACGTCGGAGAGTGTCTCGCGGACACTCAGATACCGCACATACGCCTCGTCGTGAAATGGTGTCATGTCCTCCACGCCAACCACAGGAAGGGCCCCGGAAACCCACTGAAAAAGACTGCCTGCATGTGCTGCATCCCCAGCAGCGCTGTTCCCTCCGAGGAACGTGGGGGAGACGTAGTGACGCAGCATGTCAGTTATCAAGCGATTTCTCTCGTACGTGAGGGGCATAGCGGAGGCGTCCACATCATTACCCACAATTATCGCTACTGGCGGCGCTGGCGACTGCAGCGGTGAAGGCAATGTCTGCAGATATATATCTTCCGTGGTGCCGATCATGTGTCAAGGTGAAGGCCGTTCACACCAACAAGGCTGCTCAAGGCGCAACAGAAAGCAGAGAACCACATGAGACGTAAAGGAAGAGGGAACCCTATACAAGAGGAAAGGAACACCACACATCGAAGTAAATCTTCGTCAAGTACTGAGGCTGTAGCATGTAGATATATATTGCGCTTTCCATTTGTGTTTACCACTCTCCGAAAAAAAAAAAACTCCTCAGTTTGGCCACTTGTCCATTGGAAGGTGGGTGGGGTGCTTTCATTCTCTTCGCCGTCACAGCAACAACCCCATGCAGTGCCTTTGCGCGTGGCGCCCACAGGCAGAGCCAATTTACACGTATTCCGACATTGACAAGAAAAAAAAATCAAGCATGGCAGCAAGCCCTTAATGTCGCCCATGGAGAACGCCATGGTGTCGCTTCACAAATTAGCATGTTCAGTCGCTGTTGTCATTGATGAAAATGGAAGATATACGATGGCATGTAAGGTGGAACCCCGTCGCAGGGTTGACCGTTTTGCAGCCCCAGAGTTCCTTTCATGTGTTGAATGAAAACAAATATATCTCCTGCTTCCGTTGTCAGTCACGCTGTCTTTCCATTAGAGATCTAAGCAGATCAAGGTGAACAGATGCACCAGAGAAGTGATATTAATGGTAGCGCAGTGCCTGGCCACGAAATAAGTTAGGGCAAACGCTCACCTTGCACCAAAGCCCAGTTACTATATACCATCTGCATGTAAGGATAAAACGATAGAAAAGCCATTATCAAATCTATTCCCCAAACAGAGGTGTTACTTGCAGTGCCCTCCGTTATGGTATCTATCCACTATAAGCTCAATAGTGATGTTACAGATGAGGAATGCCTTCAATTGTGGTCAGGGCGCCTTCAACGTATTGTGGCATTTCTTTGCAAAGTGCAGAAGGAAAGCCACGCTCTGGAAAGTGTATCTTTGTGGGCCTTCGCAACATTCAAACCCCTAAAGGCGTACTAAGCGGTTTCACCCGTCATATTCGAGTGGTTGCTTGCCTTCACAGATGAGACAAAGCATGGTGGTGGCAGAAAGCTTTGCCGTTTGTTTCTTTCTGGTTCCCTTATGACACCGCTCATATATCAAAGGCCCAAATCTTTTGTCGCCAGCGCCTTCCTGTAAGCCCAGTAACTGCCACCGATGGTGAAGAAGCAGTTGTCGCAATATACCAAGTAGTAGCCATGACGGCCACGCGGAGAGACAGGCAATCACTTTGCATCGCAACCTAGCTCGGCCAACCTTCAGTGATGGGTGAGAATCACATTGCTTCTCCCCTGAAGGTTACTTTCATCAACAACAGAAACTGTGCCAGCGGTGGCTCCAGGCCTTCCGCTAGCGCACGGACTAGCGTGCGGGACGGTCGAACTCCACCTATGGATACCTGGAAATCATTTACGCTCCCTCAATATAGCACCCCCTCACCACCAGCCTCGGCCTGCAACACCTCCTGGAGTACCTCCACTAGGGGAGATCCCCCAGCACCGAAACGGCTACCTCCAGCGTGGGCCACCAGCAGGCAAGTTAGGCACCACGTGTCATGCTCATGGGAAGGGTGTACTTCACTGTTAGACCATAACACAGTGTTGCACCTCAAGCCCCATAGTGTCTCTAAAATAAGATAGAATATAATCACAGTGCTTAACAAAGTGTGCACCTTGCGATTCTTTGAGTGCCTTTTCAACTAGAGCAACAACAACAACAACAACAACAGCAGCAGCAGCAGCAGCAGCAAAGATAAAAATTTTTTTAAGAAAAAGAAACACGAGAGTAAGGGAACAAAAAGTGGTAGGGAGCGCACGGAGTTGTTTACACACACACACATACGCATACCTCTCACTATATACCTCTCACTGTATGTGTGCGTGGGTAATATCTCTTTGCGAGCAAAAATGACACAATGTAGCGAGGAAGGAGAGCTTGCGTACAGCATCTCACTTCGGTAGGGTTATTTTGTTGTAACAAACATGTCGCACGCTGGGTGTGAGGACACAGAGCATTAGATACACTGCAGCTTCACTATCGCCGCTATACTTTGCCAGCGAAAATTGCTAGGAAAACGTTGCGTTCACATACTGCAGATTCATTGTTGTTCTCTATCAAAGTGTATGGAAAGATACAGGTTATGCTCAGGGCGATGTTCCCTCCACAACCAACAGCTCCCTGGAGCCGTTCTGAGTCCTTAGCCCAAACTTGTTCCTCCTGTGCTATCTATATCGGAGTTTACACACTGCCACAGATTGTCGACGCGTCCTCCACCGCCGCCACGCCAGCTGAATGATGATCGCAGCCTCCTCCCGCAAAATGCGTTGCTGAATCAGTTCCCTTGTGATGTGCGGGATGAAATCACTCGAGTCACTGGCAAATGGCAGCGTCCCCTGCAGGGCATTGCGGTGTGGAGAAGAATCCCCATCCACCACGTCGCACACCTCGCTCCTGTTCGACACCTTAAATCCGTTGCGGTATGTACCTTCTACGTCCGGTTTATTTCCTTGGAAGAGAACGCGTGCGCTGCCGCCGCTCCCTCCCACCTCATTGTGTGAATACGTCGTGGGCTGGCGCGTCCCAGAAGTGTTGGCCCATAGAAGCTCTAGCCGCGCCGAACTAGCGACGGCTGCGGCTTTGTCTGTCGCCACGTTGTGGTCGAGCGGATGCCCCGTCATGCAAGGCGTTGGGGTCAAGAGCGAGTGAAACTCCGGACCCGTAACGTACGTGATCGCGGGCACCGCTTTACGGCCAACGTTACCCTTCGTTGCGTTAGTGGAGCCAGGAAAAACATTCTCCACTGCACCGAGTGCATTCATGCGCAGCAATGAGTTGTAGCGTCGCTGATACTGTCCCTCGGAAAGACCAGCATCATCACTGGTAGTCTCAAGTAGACTCGCATTTTTCTTCACAGCGTAACTCTCGTGGGGAGCTCTATCATTCCTGTCGTGAGAGCCTTTTTTCTTTGCACCCGAGAGAGTATAGGAGTCATTCAAATGAAGAGGATTTATGTTTGCCCACGCCTGTGCCTGGGGTTTGGCAGACACAATTGTTTGCAGCGTTTCAGTCGGATCCTGGGATTGCTTCTGCACACCCTCCATCAGCATCGCAAAGCGCTTCTCAAGTCGAATGCGGTGCACGAGAGAGACAGAACGATGCGCCGCCAAAAACCCGAGGAGGACTTCGTTCGGGTGCCTAGACGCGCTGCCATTGCACGGGACCGCCTCCACCGACACGCGGCTACTCCCAAGCGAGCGGCTGCTGCTCGGCAAAAACCGCATGGTGTGGTTCGCGTGGTGCAACCACCCATTCCGCATAGAGGAGGAGAGCTGAGAAGATGAAATGCTCGGCGGGGCGCTGCCTAACCTGCCCAGTTCCCACACCCTGTGCTCACTCTCTAGCGCAGAGAGACGTGCCTGAGCAAATGCCTGCAGGGTGTGAATACATTGCATAAAGGAGAGAATGCGCATGCCACCTCCTGGTGTGGATGAGGCAGTGCCAACATTTTTGCGTACTGCACGCTTCACCCTGCCACGGAGGTCAGCAACAGGCCTGTGGTGCGGCGTTCCTTGCCTCTGCACAGCCGTCGGAGAACATGCCACACCCGGTTTCGACATCGCGCAGCCAACATTGGAGTGAGACAGCGAAGTTGCAGAGAGCACCGGTTTCTGCTGAACCCTCCGAGATAGTGGTGTGTTCGCAGCAGAAGTGACGCAGGGTGATGTCGCCGCCTCCGAGTTAGTGAAGACAGCGGAACCAGTTGCTGTCGTTATTGAACGGCTTCGCCTCTCATCGCTGCGAATTACAGTAGTGCGGTCATCCCACTGTGGGCGACGAGATTCACTTCGGCGGCGACGTGAACGAGCTGCACTATCGCTGGTGTATGGTTTCAAGATGTCGTCATGTTTACGGTAGCAGGTGGCCGAAGAGAATCCATTCACGTCTCTATATCGTGATGGTGTGCGGCGCTCCTGTTGATGTTGCTCCACCACTTGCTGTGTGGCGTCAACTACAACTTCAAATCTGCGTGGGAGCGCCGTCGTAACGATGGTGCTCTTTGGTGGCGCGGAAGCAGGTGCAGGCGTTAAAGGCACCCTCGGTGCACAGCACGTGTGTCGCTGCGCACGTCTGCACACCTGCATGCTTTTCTGCAGTTCCTGCAGCCACGACTTCTCATCTATACTGTGCGGCTTTACCGAAGAAAACCACCGTTCGCTCTGTTCGTAGCGATTCATGGCGGCCTTGTAGGCGCTGTTGTTCTGCAGCCAGCTCCCGTGCTTCTCCAGCACACGCGAGAGCAAACAGACTTCCTCCCTCCAGCCGAGATGTCCACCGAGAATGCGTTTTTCTAAACCTGGGATATACGCCGGCAACGGCTCGTCGCCGTGCTCGGCCATACGGCGAAGGTGACGCTTCTGAACGCAGAAATTATAGATGCGTTTTTCAATGGCCTCTTCAGCTAATGCAATGGCGGAAAAGGCCTCCTCCACGCATCCAAGTTCATACTGCGTTTGCGCCATATTAAAGTATGTCACCCCGATCGTTTCTACACCCAGCGACTCTTCCAGTTGTAGCGCACGGGACATGCGCCGCGCCGCCAATTCGTACTCCCCGATTTTGAAGTGATACAGGCCAATGTTGTTCTCCACCACAGCGAGAGCGAGCTGCTGCATCCTCTCGTGACGCTTGATGAAGTAGGGGACGAAAATCTCCTTTACGCAGCCATCCTCCCCGCTTCGCGGGCGCTCCAACGACTGTGCGAACCCCTTTGTGTCCTGCACGACAGACTCCGTAGTGACAAAGAACGGAAACCATTTCCCGCCTCCCCTCTGTACCATTTCTTCTACTCCCAGGAGCAGCTGCAGCGCGCGCGTGTACTGTTTCTCATTTAAAAAAGAAAGAGCAGTCACGTTTGCTGCTCGAATATACTGGTTCGCCTGTTGAGCCAAGTTGTCCTCCAGGTCGGCCAGCTGTCTCTGCGCGGCACCGGCGTCGTCGCTACCCTCGTGCACCTGCGCGGTGCCCACCACCCTGTCTGCAAGGGGTTGCTCACGGCTCTGGCGCTCTATGGCAAGTCGTTGCTGAAACACGAACTCCGTGGCGGTCGCTAGAGCTTGCTGCAGGCGCTGTAGCCCCTCTTCACGCTCACAGCTGTGGTCTCCCTCTGATGGCGGCAGAATATCGGAGTCGTACATTGAGTTGCGTTCGCCATGCTTAGAGCGGCGCCACACGGTATCCGGCCGGCGCATACAAGCCACGCACGCACGACTATACACACGGCTTTCCGCAGCTACTAAGTTGGCCCCGCCTGTGCTACAGCAGCACCAGAAGACACCACGTATAGTATCTACACTCGGTGAGGGCGAGGCTTGCCCCCTGGCCTGGACAACACAATCGGAGCGCAGAGCAGCGAGCGAGAGAGAGAGAGAGAGAGAAAACCGAGGGAAAGATATTAAGGTCAAGTAGCGCAGCCCAGCACACGTAGCTCTCCGAAGCATCCATAGATGCTATTGACACACACACACACACACACGGAGAGAGAGGAAGGAATGAAGGAAAAGCATCCAGTCTCATCAATATATCCCCTCCTTACGCGTTGCGGATCCACCGGCGCCGGTTCCGCTCGTACACGTCCGGCGGACTACCCACAGCCCCCAACTCAGCGACCCTACGCAACGCATGCGTAAGAACGCGGTCGAACTCTTCCAGCAACGACTGCATATCGTCTTCCCACAAGAAGTCCGTTGCACAGATAGTGGCCACACGCACAGCAAACGCCCTAAGCGCGGCCTCAGCGGCGAGGGTGGCAGCACCCCCTCGTCTCGTGGTCCCTTCACGGAGCCCAATGTCCTCGATCAGCAACGCCACATGGTGTGTGGACAAGAGAAGCTCACGCAGCTCTCCGGCAAACGGCGCCGCGTTGGTCTGGCGGAAGGACAATTGTAACACAGCACGGAGCAGGAGCTCATGCACGAACGCCTCACCGTCCTGAGTGGCAGTGTAACTTGGACCCAGCACATGTAGGGCGCAGCGCGGTATGTTGCGAAAGGCCACATACGCCCCGCGGGTGCTTTTCACCTCTGGCGCGGGCTCCTGTGGTGCATCGGCACGCATCCACGCCTGTAGCAACTCCGCAAGCGCCAACGAGGAGGAGGCGCCGAAAACGTTGTGTTGCTCCATCTGAGCAAGGAGAGCGCCCATCTCTACGGAACTCGCCCGCGAAGAGAACGGTGGAAAGTACAAACACCGCACAAGGAGTTTCACAGCCGATTCCGCCCTTGCCTCCTTGCTAAAGAGCGGCAAGGCACGCAGCAGCGCGTGTCGGACAGGGCGGAGCCGATCGGCTGCCGCCAGTGTCGCGCAATGGCGAAGTAGTAGCGCTAGCCACATGAGAGGCAGCAGCTGCAGACGGCGCTGTTGAGCGAAACAAATATGAAACGCTCCATTCTCGTCCGTGGCGCCCGCGTGCCCATCTCCCTGCAGGCACACAATACTGGGCACGGCGCCCAACCAGTTACAGGATCCATCCCTTGTAGCAATGTACGACAAATAGCGTGTATCTTCTCGCGCCAGAATCTCTCCTTTGAGCTGATCACGAATAATCTGCGAGAATGTCCGAAGCATTCTGCAGGATGGCGATGTGGTGCGCTCCATGTCCAACAGCGCCTCTGTGTGATCGAGTAGGCCCCAGCCGCAGACACCCAGACTGAAGTGCACGACTGCCCAGTGGAGAGAATCCCATGGGCCATCTCTTAATGCATTCCCCTTCGTGCTTAGCGGTGGTACTGCTGCTGCTCCTGCTGCTGGTGGCGGGGTTGGTGATACTGCAACGCTCTGTTCGCCCCGATGTTGACGAAGATTGGTGCTGTGCAGTTCACACGCGCCCTTTGAAAGAAAGATAGTGCAGGAGACTGCGACGTCGATAAGTGATTCACAATACTGGTCAGCGGTGGCGTACAACGCGGTCAGGTGCAGCAGAATCGCCGCAAAAAATGTGTACTCCATTACCCTCACCAGATCATCAGGGGGGAGTTCATTACTCGCTGTCCACCGTCGCCGCTCTGCACGGAAGGAGGTGAGCATGTGGTGGCAATGGTAGGCAGCGTAACGCGCCGCATCATGCTGCAGCGCGTCGGCGTTCTCCTGGCCAGAGACGGCCGTCTCATCTGCATCCTCCTTTGTACATCCCACGCTTTCCTTTTCAATGGTGAGTCCAGCTCTACGAGATCCTTCCTCGATAAAGTGTAGCGCACGCCTAAGGGGGAGACGATACTTCACATCACCGTGGCTTCCCTTGCGCGGAGGCCTGTTGGTCACACCACTACGTGTGTAGTGGCGATACGCGTGCGTTACTGGCACAGTTGCTGCTGTTGTTGTCGCTCCCCATCTCCATTGCAGCCAACGTTTCATGCGTTGTCGTGACGCCGCACTGCCGTCATGAATAAAGCTGACGCTACGCCGCAGGAAAGGAGGTGGAGGAGAAAGTGCACCTCGCCTCCATGGCAGAGGGGCGGGAGGGCAACAACCAAAACAGAAGGAAGAAAAAAAAAATAGAAAGAAACAATGAGACACTGCAAGTCCGTAAATCATCTGCACCAAGACACGAACAAACAAGAGAGTGAGCACTTCATCTTATCCTTACTCGTTGCTTAACACCTGATTCAACTTCATGCCATCCCCTCTTCAGATGCATCGGTATCATCATCATCATCATCATCATCGCTGTCCTCACGCCTGTCCGACACCTTGTGAATGACACAGCAGAACATTGGGCCGTAACCATCAGCCGTGTCCGGCAGCACAAGGTGCCCATAGCGCGTCTTCTCGCCAATGCGCAGCGACGGTGATCGCACCTCCACCTGGCAGCGTGTACGCTGCAGCACGTCCTCCACAACGCCATCGTTCTCCAGCGGAGAGATGGAGCACGTGCTGTACACCACACGCCCGCCCGGCCGGCATGTCTCAATCGCGCGCAGCAGCAGCGCACGTTGGACACAGTTCATCTCCACAGTTGTCTGCTGCGTCCAGTCGCGCGTGCTGACCGGCGAGGTGCCGCACTGCTGCAGGAGATGCCGCTCAGCCGAGCATGGGGCATCGACGAGCACGCGGTGGTACGTCGACGGGGCATGCCACGTTGCGGCCTCGCGCTGCGTGACTGTGACAGGGACGTAATTGGTCGGCACGTACTCGCGAAGACTGCGGCGGAGGCGGGCGCAGCGATCACCACGCTGCTCGTTTGACGTGAGCATCGCGTCGGGTGAGAGAAATTGCGCAATCGCGATGGACTTCCCACCCAAGGCCGCGCACAGGTCCAGCACATGGTCGAACGCATTCACCTCCAGCTGCTCCACCACCAACGCGGCGGTGTACTCAAGGCTGTGGTACGCCTTCACATTGAACTCGTCGGTGAGAGGCGGCGGCAACTCCACGGCGTCGTCGTTGCCGCGAAACAGCTGCAGCAGCGACGCGTCGTNATTGAACTCGTCGGTGAGAGGCGGCGGCAACTCCACGGCGTCGTCGTTGCCGCGAAACAGCTGCAGCAGCGACGCGTCGTCGACGCGCATCACGTTTGGCAGCGCCTTCTCAAAGGGCAGTTGGCAGAAGCGGTTCCACAGCGCCACTTTCCGCGGTGCTGCTGCGGCCAAAGCCTTCCGCAACACTGGCCAGCGGGCGCCATACACGCCGCCGTAGTACTCCTCAAATGTTGCGCTGCGCTTTGATGTCGCTGCGTGACCTCGCGGGCCCCTCTTCTTCGGTGGTGGCATTTGCGCTTCCGCCTCTTTTTGCCTGCTTATTTTTTTTTTTTT